GTACTTCTGAGAAAAAAATTCTTTATCGACAATATACCGTGTGGCCGGAAGCCACAATCAACAAATTAGTATCCTTGACCTAGAATCTCCCATTAAAATTTTTCCCAGGGGTGGATTGATACCCTGTATATGGAAGCTTGTATCAAAGCACTCCGATTAAAATTTAGTAGATTCGTAGCTCCAATGTATGGACTTTTGGACGATAGATAAACATTTTGTTGAAAAAAATTTGGAAGATCTCGTGTCTCGTCCCGTCAGCCAGGCCTTGAATGTTTCTCGTGACAGTGGTAGAACGGAAAGCCATTTGAAAGGCGAGCCGTGACTAAAGGGCGGTCAAGAATTCCGACCGGAAGTGCTGTGGCGAAGTAGTTCGCGCCCCGTTATCGGCTGCGCGAGAACGCACAGGAGGTATAATGTATACACACGATGCCGAACGATAGAGAAACGAAAAGTGCGTGCACCCTACCGAGGAAACAGCCCAACAGAGCCAGCGGGGTTTCTTAGGGGTGAAAAGAGTAAAAAGGTCCCCGCGGCAATACAATTGGCCTCTAAACAGAGGGTAGTTATAGCGAAACGCAATGCCCATTGGGGTGACGCGGATAGATCCTCTATCCTCGTCCCTCCCGTCGCGCCCCATAAAAGCAAAGGGTGGTCACCTTCGACGATTCGGGGCGAGACTTTTCAATGCACCGACCAAGCATAGAGAAAAATATTATACGCGAAGGGAGAGCGCGGCGAGAGAGGTGTCGTTTGACGAGAACCTGACGTCTCTGGTTCCTTCTCTCTTTATTTTCATTCTCCTTTCCCTGCTACGGCCGGCGGATTTCAATGGCCGTGGGCTTCTCCAGTGTCGCGAGGAAATTCGAGGTTACGAATTTCGTTCAGGACCACGCACCTCTTCGCCATTGTCCTGCAGCCGGCTGTTCGCCGTGCGAAACGTCGCCAACGTTCGACGGATTCCGATCGCGATCGCTTTGGGATTCATTGGATATACCTGAGCACACGATCGATCTTCGAACATCGGCTCGAATCCACACCCAGAGCGAACTCGAACGAATCCATCTTGGCCGGTGGCAGTTAGGGGTTGAAATGAGTTGGAACAATCGTTTCGCCTCGACGAAGGCTACACTCGAAAACGATTCGATATTGTTCTCCGGCTGCTCGACAGAATTTCTTCCATTATCTTGAATCGTCGATGTGTTAACCTCGAGCCTTTCAAAACAAAAATTATTACTCGATTACTTGGTCGTCCATGAATAAACCGAAGCAGAAATATTGGGTTTGTTTTTATCGAGTTCCCAATTAACCCTCTGTCACGTGATTCTGATAAAATCTACGTTCTTGAGATCTAGTAGCGATTATAGTTTTTATTGGTACTTGTCGATGATCTTGGAACGCTTTCCAGATTATATTTCGATGGTCAAGGTTCACGTAAATAATAGATGTCGATTAATGGAAATTCATAGAGTCATTTATTACTTCGATTCGTCGATAATAATAAATATATGCACATATACGATAAGAGACATTGTTCCTTTACTCCCTCCACTCGTCTCGTCGATCGACGATAAATTCTCTGTGTCGAAGATCTGGCGACGAACATCTTTTTTAGAATCAAACCCCCGCCACGTGTGAATTTCGATCGTTCAACGTTGTTCGCGCGCAAACGAATAATAACAATTTGTTCATAACAAAACGCAGTGTACAGGCTTCTCGATCGACGCGCGTACACCGTCGTCGAGACGTTTCGTTCTCTTACGGGCTAAAAACATCGAAGAAACGCGCGTGCAACGCACATGCACAGAAAGAAACTGATTTAAACGAAAACGTAAGGGGGAACCGGAGTATCGAAATCAGTGATTCGTCCTGATAAATAACCCTATACACGGTGCGACTATTTAGCGTGTGTGCTCTAGACGTTAGTTACAACAAGAGGTACGAGGCGACTTTTTTTTTTAATCATTAAATCTACGGAAACGCTCACGACGTAACGAAATCACAGTTAACGACTGGTCTATTTACATCCGGACCATTTGGGCGACGAAAATGCTTTCGAGGAGAGCTTAGCAAAGTAGCGAATTACGAGAGAAAAATAATTCGAGAAATTTATTTCGTTCTTCGTATATACACGATGTTTCGATGTAGAATTGCTTTTCAAATGTTTTATCAACGTAAATCAAAAACTGCTTTATTAAATATTAACAACAAAGGGACGAGATACAATTTTTATAATCGTGTCGGTCTTGAATAGGGTATTAATAGTAACCGATCGATTCGTTCGAACCTGTTCCATTCTCGAAGCATTTCCATAAATCTTTGCGTATTTAACTTTTTATCAAATTCAAGGATACAGAAATATAATTCTGGTAGATCAAACCGTGAGATTTTCGTAATTTATGTTAAGTGGTTGAATTTTTGAAAATAGATTGATTGCTACGAAAGGAGAATAGAAAAGTCTAATTAACGAGAAGTTTCCTTGAATTTATTTAAGCAAGCATGCGCAAATATTTAGGAAATCCCCCAGACACAACACATCTTAACCTTACACGCAGGATATATTGCCACAGTTTGATTGTCTACTTCGGTAACATCCGGTATATACAAACACGTTTGATATCGGTTTTAATAAAATCGTCGCGTTGATTACAAATCGTCGTGGTAAATAAATTCCTCGAAACTATTTCTCCATTGATCGTCAGAAACACTACATCCGGGACGGTCGGAAACCACGAGTTTGGGGGGGTCAGAGACTCGCTCCTGATTCGCTGTGCCCCATTGGAGGGTCACGAGGACGCACGGCGCTCCGACGATCCACGGATCAAAGACGGAATATATCACATACGAAGCTTCTCGCCGGCGAAAAAGTGCGATCTCTAGATCCGCGTCCTGGACGAAATGTTCGTTCGCTGAGGACGGACTTCTCCGTAGATCTCTAGCCCGCGACAGCTAACAAATAACAAATTTCGAGCAACGAATAAAAAACAAATAACTCTCGATGCGTTCTTTGTCCAATAAAAATTACAATCTGAATCCATGGTTACACAGAGTGTTAGTTTATAATTCCTATTAAATTCGGTCCATTTCTGCTCTCCGGAAAGCTCGTTTATCTTTCAGAGGCCCCCTCCAAGTATCTTTGGAAGCTTAATGTATATTAAAAGTGTTTTACCCCGTTTTCTTCTGGATTTACTTGAACATATACGTGAAAATTGTCTACCAAATTCTACGATTTTTCATACGATCATTTGTACAACTCGATATGACCATTTCAATGATAGTAACAAAATGTGAGAGGTTGTGGAGCAACCTATCGTACTCTAAAAAGTGAAATTTAAAGGAGAAGCTACTTAAATGCTACGAATATTCGAATACACGATCTGTACAGCAATTTTTTGAAAAAAGTATTCGGAAAAAACTCGACGATGCTCCAATTAATAGATTCGAGATGAAATGGTTCAACTAACGTATAGTGCTTGTTATTGGCAAATCGTGAACCGATTATGAGGCCATACACAATCGATAGTTACCTTTATCGTGTAAGTTTGAGTTCTCTGTGAGTGGTGGGTCTTTCCGCGGAGGGCTTGGTGTGCTGATACCCGGAAGTCTTGAAAGTTCGAGCATGGAGCGCCTATCGAGTAGGCGGACGCGTGAGCTAGAACGAGATCTGACGGAGACCGGACGTGCCGTCCCACGAAAACTATTCGCTAGCCGAGCGAACAGTCGCTAGGACTCGTTCGCGTGCGGTGCTTAACCTACGCGGATTGTATATTACGTATTATTTACATCCGTAGAAACGATATATTAAAACGAACGGTAACGACGCTCGAGAGCCAATGGCGCGTAAAACGTCGCTAAACCCCAGGCCTGTTCCTCGAATCAAACGAGACTACACGGAGACACCGTACAAAGAAATTTTTGGATAACGGAAAACACTCTTGTCTCTAAAATAACGAAGATAAATTACGAATCGACGATTCCTATTACAAGTCTCTGCGTGAAATTCTCTTCCTCGCGTCGCGAATAGGCAAAACCTAACGTAGACATTTTCAATGCCCAGTGATCGTAGCTTCCTCTATACCATGCAGTTTTTAGTCATGAATATATTAATTACTATATCGCTTTGGCGTCGTTGTCCCTTAACTAGAGTTGCGCTACAACCTGGAACTGCGAGGGAAGATAATGATATGTGCTAGAAAAGGTCGCAAAAATTTCTGACTTAAAGGTTTCTATTGAAGTTTTGTAAAAATATTTCAAACGAGAGAAGGTCTGTTACGAATAGCCAATGGCTCGACGGGTGTTCGAAAACCAGCGGTGAAAAGTTCTCGACTTGGACGATCGGACGACAGGTAAAGGCACATCCGCAATTAGAAAACATTATTCGAAAACAATGAGCTCCACACCTCCGGGGGAGGAGGGGGGAGTGCTCCATTGACGGGGCACCGTCGTGCACAATGAGCGGCCCCGTTCGATAAAGCAAAACGAATCCCGGGGCCTAAACGGCCCTTTTGTTCCAGCGCATTAATATGCTAATTCAATTATCCGCGTCGTTGCCAGCGAGCCTTCCCCGAATGATCGCGCGATCGCCCGTCCCCCCCCTCGTACTGGACAGAGCAGATTCTCACGGACGTGCCCCCGCGGTCCCTGTGTCGGCCCTCGAGCGTCGCGCGTATAAATACGTCGTCGGGTTCCCGCGCGAGAGGGTGGACATACACGTGTACTGCGAGTAGCTACAAAGAATGCTCCTGCAAGGACAATCTGCGACAAAGAACGTCCCCGCTCGTACGAGATCCCGAGCTAAATTCCATCTAAGGGCATTCTCTCCAGCTCTCGAGTATATACATTACGGATCACATACGATTAAAACCTAAACCTGCGCCGTGTTCTCTTCAATTGTACATCGAGACGGATCCGCGGGCCCCCCGGAGGTGTTCCATAACTCACCGAGCGGCCGTTTCGCGCCGCGAATCGAAAACGTTCTCGAACCTAGACGGACGTCTACGAATCTAGAATATCACGGAGACCGGTCTGCGTAGCTGCTCGAGGTCCAGCGTGGTCGATGTCGTCGGGTTGGTCACCTGCTGATGGGACGACGGTATCGGAGTGGTGCCCGGACTGCTCCCGGGGCTGCTGGTGGTCGTGACGATGCTGCCGGGCCCGGTCGCCGACGAGGACGTGAACATGAGGTGAGGATGAGGCGCGGTGGCCCCCACGGTGTGATGTCCGGTTGAGAACAGAGGTCCCAAGTGGGACGCCGTGTTGTGGTACGGCTTACCTGCTGTTGTGGGCGACGAGTAAAATCCGGAGTAGAAGCTGCTGACTACAGCCGCCGCGGAGGCAGCGTTGTTGTTGGCTGCGTCCGCCGCCGCCGCCGCCGCAGCTGCGGCCGCCGCTGCACTCGACGACGACGACCCCGTACCGTTACTGCTGGCCACTAACTTGCTCAGGTGGACCGCGTCGAATGCTGAGCCAAAATACGGCGGCAACGGTGGATAATCGAGAGGGTGCGGATGGTGATGATGATGAGAGACCGGAGCAGCTGGGGCGGCGAAGTACGGAGGCAGAGGGAAGCTGGGGAAGCCACCGGGACTCATCGAGCCACCTTTACCAGGTACCGCGGACACCGGTACCTTGGGCTTCCTTCGCGGACGGTACTTGTAGTCCGGGTGCTCCTTCATGTGCATCGCCCGCAGACGCTTCGCCTCGTCGATGAACGGTCGTTTCTCCGAGTCGGAGAGTAGCTTCCACTCGGCGCCGAGCCTCTTCGATATCTCCGAGTTGTGCATCTTCGGGTTGTCCAGGGCGATCTTCTTTCGTTGGATCCTGGACCACACCATGAACGCGTTCATAGGCCTCTTGATGTGTTGCTCCTGGGACGCGGCGGACTGCTGGCCGGCCACGTTCATGTCCTGGCTCACGTGGTGCACGGAGTGCAGGTCCATGCCAGACAGGAACCCGTAGCCGGGATGTTGTTGGTGAGAGCTCATCATGGTCACCTCGTCGTTGCGAGCTCGAGCGAACCGAGCGAGATCCCACAGGCTGTATCGATGGACTGCCACCCCTTCGTAGCTTTCCCTTGAACTTCACGCACTTATGAGCGGACCACCGTCGCGCTCGGTTATCGTCCTAATCCTCGCGTTCATCCACTAACTGATGTCGCCACCGGATTCGAGGTGCGAGCGAAAAAAATCCACAAGTGTCGTAAACGAGATGTCGAGTTAGGTGGAAGGCGAGCGCGGCAAAAACGGTCGAACGTGCTCGAATGGAGTGCCGGTGTCGACTGAGCGTGGACTGCCCGTAGGACCGGTCCACGACCTGCCGGAGGGATCCATACTTCCTCTCTCTCTCTTTCCCCCGATGGCTGTCTCCGTTCACCAGGATTTCGAGGGCGGAACCGACGCAGAGCGTCGTACGCCGCGCCCACGAACCGACCCTCTTCACGCTATTCGTCGAAGTCGCCTCGGTCTAACGGCGTACCTTTTCTACCCTTTCTCCCCACTAAGTGACACCGGCACACCGACCAGAAACAGCAACCCCTCTGTACCCTGCCGGACTGAGGAGGGCTGCTGCTACCTCGGAGACCGCGAGCTGCAATTATTATTATTGATTACCTCGATACGATGAAGTACAAATAGCGTATAGGCTGCCCCGTTATTGACTAGCTCTCTATTCGTCTACTGGCGCGCACGCCACCAGCGGCGCGATATCGCGCGATAATTGGTTACGCTCCCTTCCACCCTCTCGTTCACCCCTCTTCAGCTGCCAGAAGAACGCGGAAGATTCTCCTGGTCAACGGGCTCGAGGATCTTCGGCCGGATTAGCTCCTTTGCTCGGACATCCGTGACCACCTTCATTCACCGGTGACCCCGATAGACCGCAACCCCCATTGTTCCACGAGGGTGTATGACATTTTTCTTCGCATTCTTCGGACACCTTCAATTTCACCGAACATCTTTGGCCGCTGAATACGTTGGAACACGTCTACGTTACTCTTTTAACGTTTCGTTGCTGGAGGATCTTTCTTTTTTATTCCTCGTCCCAGAAATAAATACTACTAAATAATTGCTTCACCCAAGTGGGATTATGCAAATGTCAACAACCGAAGATTAACCTCTTAATTCAAGATTTATGTAGTTAATTGACAAAACGAACGAACAAAATAAAGACTAGAAAAAAGAACCGTTTCAACCCCCCTAAAATGGTAATAAAAAAATTGCATTCAATTAGTCGCTTCTATTAAAATGAGTTCTTGATTACCCTATAAAAATGTTAACAGATGAAGATGAACCTATAATATTATTACAATTCTATTATGGAAATGTCAGCAAAGGAGGATACCCCTCAGTAATATGGTAGAGCAAAGTCAAAGTAACAAGTTAAATATATCGTAGACACTCACGGTATTGTTGGTTATAGGTTGTGGAATAACAATTGAAGAACACCCATTAATATTCTAGTAGACACGTTCCAACCCTTGGAAGAGAGCAGGTACTCGGACGCCAAGAAGTCTAAAACTCAGCACAAAGAAGACTGTATTAGAATTTTTTAGGGACATGAGTCACACCCCTTTACAGTAATTTCTTTAAATAAATTTTGAACATTTTTAAAAGACTCTATCTCGAAAAAGGGGAGAATTCTTAGATATTTATGTGACCATTCCCAGAGAAAGTAGAATATAACACCAAAGTTTGCGATTTTTTTCTGAGGAACAATTTTTACCTTTTTTGTTTTCATCCAGTTAGCTCGAATGCTTGTTTCGTCCTGTAAAACTTTGAGAAAGATGAAAATTAGTGAAATTTCGCGCCCCGTTCGCAGACAGGGGCGCAACAATCTGACATAATTACGAGGGAATCATTAACACCGTTTCTTTGCCACCGCGACTAATCCGTAGGTCGTTTCGTTGAGTAATTAATCAGAATTTCGCATGTCGGCGTCCTTCTTTCTCCCTACCGTTGAAACAATAAAGGGTTGAAATCTGCCAGTTCCTTTCCTGTGGGAAATCTGAGGAACAATAGAAAAAAATCTCTCGACGACAGGCACTTGGATTAGAATGGAAAGCAACAGCGGCGAAAGGAGCGAGCGGTGCCCCTTTCCCAATCTCGACTCACCGCGCCCTCGGCTCCCAAAGGACATTCAGCAATGCGAACGAATAAAAGCTCTCTCTGTCGGTGAACTGCATTAGTCGTTTGTGCTTTTGTGCAGAGGAGGCGCGTACGAACTCCGCCGCGGTGTCTCCTTACTTCGATTTTCAAATAATCGATCGAGCTTCCTGCATTTTCGAACGGAGCGCCGTTCGACCGAGCGGCGTCGTTGTAATGGCTAACTTGGAATAATTTTAGACCGACCAAGGAGGCAATCTTACTCCTTCTGACTCGTACTTCTTCCTGCGATATGAAATGTTATTGAACTCATTGCTTTTGGAACTGCTTGTAATTCAGATTATCAGAGGACCTGGAAAAACTGTTACCTTTGCCAACTTTTGTTTTTTCTATTCACTTGACTCTGTTCACTTCTGCCAGATACGACTTCCGGGAACATTTCTTTTTATTAACGGGCAAATCTAAGATGTTTGTATAGAGCAACAGCACAATAAAAGTGATTATTCCAAAAGAAATTAGTTTTTGCCTATGGCAGCTTCAATTAATTTCAAAATATATAAGCTAACCCCGTTGTGTCAATTATTACCAAAATCTCTTCCCATTTAAAAAATCGTCGATGGCGTTCGTCGGGGAGGAGGGGGGGGGGAGGGCGTAGCGCCAATAAGAGAACGGTAAACAGTGGGAGAAAGCGATTAAAGCCTGAAAAAGAGGGGAAAAGGGAAGCCGGACTCTTCCGCGGGACGAAAAAAAAGAAAAGAAAAAAGGTGGAAGAATCCGTCGACGGATGGTCGCCATTCCGTCGATCCGGATTCTGTAAAATACGCGTCCGAGCACAGACGCACACAGGCCAGTCGGAGCCGCCACTCACACGTTCCTTCCCCTGTATGCAGTCGGGTGCAAATTGGTATTGAAAAATCTCGAAGTCAATTAAAACTCGAGATACAAAGGATTTGGCGAGACAAAATACCAATTATCTCATGTCCTCCGCCTGTGCTGTCCCTTCGACTCTCCCTCCCCTCCCCCCGTCGCCGCCAAACAGCCTCGAGGGGAGCACGGGGTTGGTCGTCGGGCGAACGGGGTGACTAGCGAGAGGGGGACGGGGGCCGAGGGCGCTTACAAGAACTCAATTCCATTAAGCATTGAAGTGAGTAAAACGAGGCAGCTCAGCGTGGATGGGCATCTATATAACGCAGCTCGCATCTCGGTTATCTACCTAATAAAGCTTCGACTTCCTCCCAAAACCCCTTCCCCTTCCCACCGCGTCCGCGTCTCACCGAGCCACCCCCGGGCACCGGCCCGCTACCCTCTACGACATAAAGCATGTGCCAGCGAGGTGTCTGTGAGACAATCCCCCGGGATGACAATGCTTATCCCACGTATGAATGCCGGCGATGCTTCCTAGGTAATTTAAGTATAGCCACCCACTCGCCACCAACCAACCTCTCTTTTCACCACCTTGCCATCCGCCTTCAACCATTCGAGGAAGCCCGTATACCTTCTGGTGTGCACGTATGAAAACCCGTTGTCCCCGTTTAATGATTGCCATTAGCGACGAAATCTTTTCTCGTCGACCGCCAAGCCACTACGCAAGCGGCGAACCAGCCCCCCTCTCGCTTATTCCGGGTCCTGTGAATCTCGAATGAGCCCCCGAGATCCGTCTGGGGACTGCGTCGATGTTCTCGCGCCCTATCGGAGCTATTGCCAAGGTCGATCTCTATGGAAGTTGCCGCGAGAATCGCGGGGCTTCGAACAATGCGCGTCTTTATCTCATGCCGGAGATTACGATTTCGTGAGTGCAAGCTCGCGAATGCGTTCCGCCTCGCGATATTTCTTTTCTTCTCTGCTTTCCTTTCACCCGGCCATTGTCTCCCTTTGCTACGCGATTCGCGCGTTACTGGAGCACCGTCGCCGAATAGACTCCATCTTTCGCCGGATTCAGTGTCGATAAATTGAACTTCAAACGGAACGAACGATTAATTAAGCATTCGACAATTAGTCAGACGTTCGGAGGTTCAATGTTGAGATCAGTTTACTGTTTAGCGAACTTGGACGAACTTTAACCGTCAGTCGAAGGCGTGGGAACAGAAACTGATAGAGTTTGTACGTAATGTTATTGGACTGCATAGGTACTCCGACGTTATCGTTGGAATGAGCTTAAACGTCACATTATTTGTAAAATTTTTATGATAAAAAACGGTCCACTATTAGGTACTGTGTATGGATGCAATAAAAAGTTCTATGCGATTGTTAAGATTACACGTAGACTTACTACGGTTTTAATTTCGTAACAATGGAGCAACTGTAAATTAAAATGACGTAAAGCTGTCATTATCTCCGGCCGCGCAGTACGTCGTTAAAAACCACCATGGAAGGATTACAAGAAACAAATTTCCGAGTGAACCGACCGCAAGGGGAACGCAGTCATTCAATTAGCGAGGTGCTTCAGGGTTGCCACTTTCATCCGCAAATCGGATCCAAGCGACTGCACGGAAGACGGCTCGTCTCTTGGAGATCACACCGGCCGAACGGGGGGATGGGGGGCTGCTCTCATCCAGGTGGCAAAATCCCGGCTAATTAGTAATCGTCCTCCGCCTCTGTCGAGTCCGCAGGTGCTGCTCGGTGTATCTAGACGGCACGTCGAGCGTGTAATTCGGATGCGCCGGATTATCCGCGCGACGTTCCCATGTTGATCCTGCAAATTAAGTCGACTGCTCGACGCGGCCGTGCCGTTCGAGCTCGTTGGAGGAAAGGGGCATGAAAACGCGCGGGGGGGGGGTGGTAGAACGGGTGGGTTTATAAGAGGGGTTGGTCGGTCCTGGAAGCAGGTGGGGCAGAACGGAACGCAATCGTAGCGTACTTTGGGTGATTATAGGCAATCGTAAAAGTACCAGAAAGCGGCGGGTAAGAGGGAACAAGACAGAGCAGGGGTTGGACGAAGGGATGGAAGGTAGGAGGAAGGGGGGAGGACGAGGGATACACGGGCCCATGACGGTGCCACGTCGCCACCCCGACGTGCACGCTCGAACGCGTTGCGTAATTAGCGACTGCCTCTCCGGTTTTGTGGGTGGGTGTAGGGGGTTGCTGGGCGGCCTGGATAGCGAGGGTGAAGTGGGTGCACTGTTACCGTGCGCCGAGATCGCGGCCACCCCCCCCCTCTGCACCCCCCCCGAGAACACGTTCGTGCGACTGACGACCGGTTGAAGCCCACCGCGTGCGTGAACACACGTGCGATCTACAGGGTGGTTCTTAACGGCGGATACCAGACGGTATTCGCCATTCTGAAAAATCTAGGCTTCGAGTCTTCTCGTTTTAAAATGAACACGCATCAGTTTGTTTGCTCTTTCAACACGGAAAGTATTATTCTTTTTGGTCCTTGGTTTGAATCGTGTTGTTGATGAATGAAAGAAGGGGGTAAATAGAGAAATGGATGAATAGATCCACCGACTAACTTTGTTACTCGTCAACAAACATTGTTAAACACCTGTGAAGAGTAAGACCCCCTAGTAGATGCAACAACACTGTGGCGACACCTTCTGCACTCGCCAATAGAGGGACACCCCCAATCTGTGAATTTCTCACAAGTGCTCGACTGACCATCGAATTTTCTTTCCTCTTGCATATAACAGCAACAAATGCTTTTTCAACGCTTCTATACAAAGCAAACTGTGCAAACTACAACCACGGATGTGTTTACCACAGTCCAAAATTGTGTGTGAATGGCGACAGAAATCGTTGCGATCGATTATCGAGGGTTGAAGCTCGACTGGGAAAATCATTACAATGGGCGAGCGATTTTACCACGTAAACAACGTCTTGGAGGGCGCGATTCTCGCGCTAGTCGGTCGCGGATCTGATTTTCTCGAGTAGTAAGGTGGAGAATTATGCGGTTCGTGGCGTCGACACTAATCCTCGTCGAAACACCCCGTGCAGGGTGACGGGGTGTGTGGGGGAGGGGCAGCGAATCGAGGAGCTCGGGAGTGGCGAAAGGGATCACGTAGACCGACGTAGACGCAATTAATGCAGAAACAGGGCGCAGGACGTCGAGGGGGTTTCGAGGAGGGCATCGGCGCTATGCCGCGCCGTGAGACGTAATGACTAATTGAGATTGGAAAAGAGGAGGGAATAATGCGATCCGGGTGGTCACGGTAAAACGCACTTTTTCTTTCCTCCTTCGTCCTTCCGTTCCCTACCCTTCCTCCGCCCCCCCACCCTTCCTTTCCTGTCGATTACAAAGAATCTCTCGCCTGCAGGCACACCAATGGAATTACGGGATACGCTGTCGCGCCGGTAGACTCCCGGATCAGATCCCGGGCTCGATTTTAATGCGATCGATTTATCGAGGCGCTCTTCGACGTCTCCAGTACGGACAGATTTATCAATTTCTTCCGTCCATTTTTCGGACCACGAGAATCCCCTCGATGACAGTGTTCGTTCTGACGGGTATGCTACGGAACTCGTTCAGATTCACTGAAACCTTCAAATATATTAGGTTATATTAGGCTTATCTTATTTCAAACGAGCACTCAGATCTTATCTCGACAATATACTTTACGAAATTTTGAAAATTATTGGCGAAACAATGAACGTATTTTAAATGTGAAAGAGCATCAGAGAAGTGGTTTGGGAAGAGAGCTAGAAAAGAAAGCATCCTTTCGATTGCAAGTTACATCTATCATACTGGATTAGATTTTTATTACCTTTTAACTCTTCTCTCGTGTTTTAATTTTCTATTTATGCAAGTAAATTAGTAAATTTCTTTCTCTACGACCCTGGTGCATAAAGCAAACATCAAGAGCCATCGTTCTCCAGTTGTCCATCAGAGATTTCTGAAAATTGCACCGATCGATGGCCCAACAACGTGTTCCGTGACAATTCGAAGTACCGCATAGTGGAGTGAATGCAACTCCAATATTTGTTTCCTGAAAATTTCAAAAATTAACACATTACCGACCGATAACCTATTAATCGACTTTTTTACCGACCGATAGCGTATTAATCAACTTTTTTACCGACCAACGCTTACCGACCGATAGCCGATTAATCAACCGGTCGGTAAAGTGTTAATATACGATTAGCTACGAAACTATATGCTTCAAGTAGAGCGAAAAATTGATTCACTAACGATAGAAGTATTTTATATACTCTTCGTTAATGATTCGCTGATATATCTTAATCACAACTGACTGGCCATCAGCGGCCATAAATTCTACATTTTACTGTTAAAATCGGTGAGGATCGTAAAGTGGCTGTAAAACTAAAGTTCGTCTATTCTCTAAGAACCTTCAAGGTTCGACGTTTTACCACCTAGAATCGCCGTTTGGCCCACTGTAGACCACCATGGAGCAAACCGAGGTCCCGGGCGCATCCATCAGCCTCATGAACAATCGCGGCGCGTGTTGCGACACGATTTGTCACGATATCGCGGGAACGGTTCGCGGCATCGATATTGTGCCGCTTACAATCCGTATCCAAGAGCGAAACAACGGGGCAAGTAAGGCAGGGAAGGAAGGAAGGAAGGAAGGAAGGAAGGAAGGAAGGAAAGCAAAAGGAAAAGTGAACGGGGTAGGGGAGAGGGAGGTTGTGGGGGGGGTGGTTTGCACGGGGGTTGGTGCGGGCAAAGGCAACCGGAGTAACCAAGGCAAGAGATCTCTCACACAGGGACAGCCCGTCGCGCGAGTGTTCTCCATTCGTCGGCGCTGGGCTCGTCGACATTAAGATAATTACTTTCCAGCAGGACGTGCGCGCTCATTGTCGCCGGTACCGCGGCAGAATGGCATTATTCATTGTCGTGAAGAAAGTGAGGGAGCGCGAGGCTGGATGGTGGGGAGGGCCGCGAGGTGCCAGAGGGTTGTGGCGCGGGGGGTGCAGAGCCCGTTGGTATACCTTAGCCCGTGGGTGGAGCATTATTCCGTCAGTTCCATGTTTCGCCATTGAAACCGGGCGCGGGGGAAGGGGGGGGGGGAGGGTTGCTTTCCGTTCCTCGGAGGAAGACCGGAGGGGTGGGCATCCCGACGATGTATCCAACGGCTTCCTCCCGGCGACGCCATTAATGTAATTATTTCCAGCGAGTGTTTCAGGTGGCAACGAAACGCTTCGCGGGAATCGAGACTGATCAGCCTGGCTGGCCCCGGGAAAGAATCAACGTCCTCCGGGATGCGCTTACGCCTTCGTGGCTTTCCGCGTTCCTTCGTACGCCTGCTCCCCCCCTCGCAGTTCGAACTCTTTTCCTCCTTCCTGGCGCCGGGGGATGATTCGTCACGGCGGCGACCAGGCGTTAAAACGAGACGCGCTTGTCTGATTTGTGTCCCTCGCTTTCTACCCGCGATAATGCCTCGATTTCGTCCAACTGGTTCTGTCCGTGGCATCGTTGGCTCCCGATTCTTTCCGGAAACACCGAATTCTTCTTCTTTCAAGGCTCGCATGGGCACCTCTTCTCTTTCGTTTCGACTCTTCTCCTTCTTCGGAGGACTTGGAAAGAATCTCTGTCAATTCTTCTTCTTTCAAGGCTCACATGGGCACCTCTTCTCTTTCGTTTCGACTCTTCTTCGGAGGAGGAGGATTTGGAAAGAATCTCTGTCAATTCTTCTTCTTTCAAGGCTCACATGGGCACCTCTTCTCTTTCGTTTCGACTCTTCTTCGGAGGAGGAGGATTTGGAAAGAATCTCTGTCAATTCTTCTTCTTTCAAGGCTCACATGGGCACCTCTTCTCTTTCGTTTCGACTCTTCTCCTTCTTCGGAGGACTTGGAAAGAATCTCTATCAATTCTTCTTCATTCAAGGCTCACATGGGCACCTCTTCTCTTTCGTTTCGACTCTTCTCCTTCTTCGGAGGACTTGGAAAGAATCTCTATCAATTCTTCTTCTTTCAAGGCTCACATGGGCACCTCTTCTCTTTCGTTTCGACTTGTTGGGGTTTTGTAATGAGCTGACACATTCGATATAACTGTTCAATATAAACGTATATTTAGAAGTAAATTAAACACGTGTGCATACAAAAGCGACGCGTACTCTCAGGGAGACATATTTGGACTGAACAACAACAGGAAAACAAAACAATATGTTCGTATCGATAACGGCCATCATCGATTCTCTAACACGACTCTTCTCCTTCTTCGGAGGACTCTGAAGGAATCTCTGTGAATTTGAATCGAAAAAGAGGTCTTCTTCGTCCTCGAATACTCTGGGGAAAACATTGCAATAATAAAATACTTAACAAACCTTTTTATTCGATGAAAAGATCAGGTCAACTTGAATTTTTAAACAGCACTATGTAACGACCCACTACACAATGACCTTCGAACGAATTTTAGGTTAGAAATTCGCTCGTAATTGAGGGAATAATTTTATTCCTATTCAATAATAAGAAAAAACACGATATAAGATCCATACAGAATAATTAAATAAATTTAGCTGCTTTTTGTGTGTAAAAACGAACTTCTTTGGTTGAAATTGTAGGTAGTTGAGGGAATAATTTTATTCCCATTCAATAATAAGAAAAAACACGATATAAGATCCATACAGAATAATTAAATAAATTTAGCTGCTTTTTGTGTGTAAGAAGAAACTTCTTTGGTTGAAATTGTGGGTACTTTTCGTTTTGAAACTATGAATTACTATGCACGCGTGCGTTTGTTCCCCTCCATCGCGAAGTTGTTCCTTTTTACATGTGTTTTAGATCGTAACCTCGTTGACACGGTCGACGGTCAAAATTTTTGTGGGAACGTTGTGGAAAATTCTAAAAAAAAACATTACAGATGCAAGTGACGTAAATTTATAGTGGAAAAGAGGCGTTAAAATTCTTGTTTTTGGTGCACCATGTCCATATCCGGTACCTACATCGAGGAAGATGGTTTTGGGCTTGTGCCCAGACCTAAACGTAACAAGCATAACAGACCATTCGAAATTGTTAGAAGGTAGAAGAAAGACATCAATTATCCTGAAAAATAATGGATTATATTGTTCATTTGACCCATATCTTTATCTATCAATGTAGTTAACTCAGTACTACTATTATTATTGCTATTTATTGTTGAAAACCAAACCTTCACGACTCTGAGAGAAGTATTTTGCATGGGTACAAATGACGTTTTAAGCTACTACATTTTTTATTACTCTTTTTGTCAGATATACACTGACCAACAAACACAAAGCATCGGTGCAACTGATATCCTGGGGCGCTGGAATTCAATCCGTGAAAATTCCAAACAAATCGGGCATTTTAGGCGACGTCGTTTTGGGCTTCGACGATATAGAGGGTAAAAATTGTTATTTTCCGAAACCACCGATCTCGTTCTTTACAAAATAATCGACTTACTGCGTTGGAGGATTCGTAACATTCATGCAAATATAATCAGGATATTTGGAGAACAGGTACATAGGAAGCATAATCGGGCGAGTGGTGAATCGAATCTCGAGCGGTAAATTTCGAATGAACAATAAGAATCACGTCTTGTCGACCAACGACAGGGATGGCTCGAGTCACTTCAATGGCGGACATTTTGCATTCGACAACATCAACTGGCAGTCTCACGTATTACGCAAACATGTGGTACGAGCACAATTACTATAAATTAGTAATATCTCGTAATTCTCCATGCAACTACGAGAGGACTTGATGATCAATTTATTTTTTATGAATGAAATATTCGATCCAAATGTTCATTGTTCGTTATTTACATGTAATTAGTGACAAATCGTTAACTATGTAGCAACTCGCGGCAGTCAACGCGTTGAACAATTCCACTATGATACCCGAATGGTTTCTCTTCTTTTTTTTAAATTATTCCAACAGGTAATGTCTCATTTGAGCCGAGCAAACAGCGAGGGATATCCGGGAGATATGTTAACGCAGGTAAAATACTCCTGGACGGATGATAATCAACTTCACATTAACATCCGTGCAACTGCGACTCAACCGACACCTGCTAACATCACTACAAATTGCTTAATGAATCTTGCAGGACACGTAAGATTTGCTAATTTCTATATTAAAATGGTAGTTCCACGTCTGCTACAATTTTAAGTTACAATACGAGGTGCAACAGTAAAGTTTCGAGCATAGTTTTGTTTCCATCATTAATAGTAATAACTAGACTACGGATCTTTATGAAACGGAAGCTTTGTAGAGGGTTGTTTCAACCCCTAAATACAATAATTCGTATCTTACTTTAAGTATTATATTTTTGCATATTAAATGCATTCTGTAGCTTTTTGAGAATTAAAATTCTCCATAAATGCATAAAAATCCGCAGTAATAACGTAAACAATTATAAGTCTTTTTAGACGTTACGTAACAAGTACCATTATCAGTTTAAGGTATAAATTCACGACTCGTAATGGAGACTGCTCAAACACATGAATTATATACACTAGTATATAAATTAGAAATTAATTTTTTACACTAAAAGTGTTATACTTTTAACTGTGCAACTAATGGGAATTAACAAGTTGAATCGTTATAGGCTACTGGTCCTAGCGAATTGAAGAAACACGTGGTGTCCATCAACGCCGGAAGTTGGACGTTTGCGGACATAAAAGACAATTTGCCGACAGGTGCTATACATCCTGTCGATAGTACAGTGTTCGACCTACGCTTACCGACTCAGTTGACCAAGAAACAGCTTTACAACGTACCGGGTGGTGGTTACAACCAGAATCTCTGCATCACCAGCCCCAGCTGCTGGTCTTATCGTTTTCACGCTAGGTAAGTCATCGATCATCGAATTTTGGCGAATACATTTAATCATAAACTAAGTATAGAATAGAATTGTAATCAGTGAGTTGATTTTCGTGGCCTAATCTACCTGCCATACCGACCTGAAATTTCTAAAATGATTTTACTGCCCCCTTCTCATGGATGAGAAATTAAAAAATTTCGAATCATTCTAAAAAAATTATTTTTAGTTTCTGGGGTCAATTACACACCTTTTACGATGAATTTAATACTTTCTTGCTAACTTTCACGTATGTTAATGTTAATTTTTCTATTTTCTATCGAAGAGTTTTGCATCTGCTTCGATCATCGAATTTTGGTGAATAAACGAAGTATAAAATAGAATTGTAATCAGTGAGTTGATTTTCATGGCCTAATCTACCTGCCATACCGACCTGAAATTTCTAAAATGATTTTACTGCCCCCTTCTCATGGATGAGAAATTAAAAAATTTCGAATCATTCTAAAAAAATTATTTTTAGTTTCTGGGGTCAATTGCACACCTTTTACGATGAATTTAATACTTTCACGTATGTTAATATTAAATTTTCTATTTTCTATCGAAGAGTTTTGCATCCTGCTTCGGGAAGAACCTTGGAAATATATTCCAATCAGCCAGGCTTACAATTCTCCACTGGAAACGATTTGCCAGATCCCGATCTCGTCTACCCTCCCGATTTCGAAGACTACTGCGACTGTGCCGACGAGGATTATGTTAGATCTTCATTTGATCTATCCACGAGTTTCCAAAATATATTTATCGAGTACAATTTGCTTTAGACGGGAAATATCGACGAGATGAATAAGGAAATTTGGGGAAAAGACGGTGTTCGATATCGAAGACACGGTGGATTCGTTTTATCGCCACAAAACTACCCCGACGCCATCAACATATGCGATTTCCCATGCAGCGTGCTTTATCCCGGTAAAGTTTACGCGCACGACATAACGTACAAGTTCGGTTTGCTCTCAGAAATATGAAAACGTCGAAAGTTAAAAACGATCGATATAAATCAATACACGATTTTTTAGATTTATAATACATATATTTGTGAACCAATCTCGGCTGGAATAATCGCATACGCGCTAATTGTACAAAACTATCCATAATAATTTCTATTCACATATTTATCGTAACGGGAATCGCGCGATTCGCCCCTCGTTTGCTACTTAATGAGATAATTAGGGCTGCACGGCGTTCGCCGCTAATTAAATTGTACATACTATCGGGTCGATTATCGTTACTATCCTTATGTAATTCTCTTTATTGTCGTGAAGTGACTCCATTCTGAATGGTGTCACGAAAACCTCTGGTCCGTTCCGCGGGATATTCGAGAATCGTGACGTAAATCGTTTAGCATGATTGCTCGAAGCATCCGTTCGTGGTCCGTTACCAGCTGGCTCTCCATAAACGTTTATAAATATATAAAGCTATATCTGTGTATGTATACATATCTCGATTTATCTTAGGCGTAATAAAAAAAAATTCATTTCCTTTTGTACATCCCTAAAGTGTTATCTCTACGTGTAATATTTTTTTATGTTATTTGCGGGCAGTAACTTATGGCAGACATTCTGAAGGCAGTTTCAAGTATCCACTTGATCTCTTGGCACCCATCGCTTAAATTCATCCTCGAGTTTCGAATTTCTGAGCTACGAAACGCTTCGTTGTATCATTAATCGAGAATCGTTGTATATAATATATTCCCATTGTGGGTCTGTGAATTTGCATTGCTAATAAATATAGTAATATTACAAAAAAATTTTTTTTTAAATTCTGGAAGTCGTGGGTGACAATATCAACGCGTTATCGTCCATCTGACACGAAACTACAAAGTCGAGGAATGTCAGCGTCAAACGTCGACTAAAATAGCTTAAAAAAGAAACGAGGAAGATATAAAACACATATCAGGCAAAGGCAGTGTTAAAGAAGAGTGTCAGCTCCGCGTAAAGGGGAAAAAAAAAAAAGAAACAATTATTTGGCAGTGAAACGACGCAAGTCTGGTTACAAAATGAACACAAATTTAAAGCATTCGCGACTTCTCCGCAGGATCGAACCGATGTCAGAGTGATTCCCGCCCGTAATACTCGGCAGTTTTTTGTTTCGGTGTCTCGCGTTGCAATGAGAAAATTGACTAATGGAACCGAAACGTTTGACCCCCAAAACGTTACTCCGTCACTATTACGTGAACTCTGAGGGTCAGAGGCCTTTCCCAGACTTCGTTCTCCTCGGCGATACCGTTTTTCGAGCGTCCGTGGATAACCAAACGGAATTCACCGGGTTCCTTCAATCGACTGCGGAAATGGAGGGCCCAAACACCGTAATCCTTCGCGATCTCGAAGTGATCGTCCTTGTCGCCCTTGGCTATCGTGTACTCCATCTCCTCGTCCTAGAAAAAAGATGAAATCATCGCTTGCTGGCGAATTAAACTTCAACGGGGCTTGAAAAAGTATTTTTCTGATCCTCGAGGCGAACCTTGACAGCTGGTTGCAGTTTAAGGATTCTCTTCCTGTGCTTGGTCTGCCTTAAACTGATCTTCAGGACGAATTCTTCGCCATGGTGGTGTCTGTTCGCTGTCCTCGGGACTCGTTTTTTCGCGATTTCGCTTCTACGCGAAATCAATTTCTCTTCCATCGATCTGATTCGCAAGCCTCTTCTGTGTCTTCCTTTCCCATTGATCTGTTTCGAAAAGATTGTTCGATTGTTTGTTATCAATTCGAACATCGAAACGAGAGGGTTGGCAAATTACATATTCAGGGAATAAGACAACATTTAAATAATATACCTTGCAAGTGAAACAGCCCTCTGTCGATATCGTCTTGTCGTCTGCTGGTGGTATGTGATAGGGATCTGGATTTATCACGAATGTGGGCGCGTTGCTAATATCCTCGCCGTAGTTTCCTTGCGATAGTGGAGTAATCGTTGACAAACAGTGGCCCTGATTTATTAAAATTGGAAACAAAGGAAACTTAATAGATGTTACGACCAAAGTTCGAATAATTGTTGAATGGAATAAACCCAGTAAATAAATCGTTGGACAAGCGAAAATTTCGTGTCACCAACCTGTCCAATTCTCTGATAGCCAGTTGGACATCCGCAAATGAAACCACTGGGGCCATTGGGAGTGCATCCGAATGCACATGGACTTCCAATGCATCCAGCGCTCACCTAAGTCCCATTAAATTGCTCATAGATTCTTTCAAGACGTAATTCACGTCCTACAGTTATTAGACAAGGCTGGAAACATTACCTGAATGCACATTTGCACTTTAGAGTCGAACTGGTAACCATCCGGACAACCACACTTGTAGCTACCAATCGTGTTGATGCAGGTATTGTCTCCGCACGGGGATGTGCTGCATTCGTTCTCGTCGATACACTGATTGTAGTAGAGATGCTGAACGAACCCGTCGGGGCAACCGCAACGATAGCTTCCCATATAGTTCTGTAATTAACAGAACGAAAAGAAGATTAAACGAGGTTTCTCTGAGATCTGGAAGCAGTGGAGCTACAAGCTTTCATTTGACATATATTTAACACTAAACCAACCACGAACCGGTCAAATGACCGTTTTTAAAATTTTGTTTAGAATTTCTAACGCACAATGTTATTTTGGCGCACATTTTACGATTTTTCTTATAGCATACGTACAATGAATTTTTCAATATTCACTTCTATTCTTATTGTTTAGTCTCTTTGTTAGTCTCTTTTGCCTATAACGATCGGGCGTCTTATTTTGGCCTCTAGAATCTCCCATTAAAATTTGCCCCAGGAGTGGCCGAACACCCTGTATTATAGTCCAGTATTCAGTTTCCATTGTCTTAGGACAGTCTAATAACGCGTATTAAAAATACTAAAACTTTGGACGCGTGCAGTTCCGAAACTACTAGGGTTTTATTCATTATTAAGGTATCGTTAGAAGCGGCAAGGCTTCCCCTTTAAAACGGTTTTTGGTTTTTGTCGATCGGACTTTCCGTTATCGAGATATCGTAATTTATGTAAAACATGATTTTTTAAATTCCGCTGTCTCTCGCTTCCCCATGTTAGACAAGGCTATTAACGCGTATTAAAAATAGTAAAACTTTGGACGCGTGCAGTTCCGAAACTACTAGGGTTTTATTAATTATTGAACGACTGTTGGCAGCGGTGAACCTTCCCCTTTAAAACGGTTTTTGGTTTTTGTCGATCGGACTTACCGTTTTCGAGATATCGTAATTTATGTAAAGGGGTATTTTTCTTAATTTGACTATCTCTGTCTCCGTCTGACGCGTCGCGCCGGACCTCCTTGTCGCACGTGAGTCGTGACTCTCGTGACCTAGTTTCGTAGTATTTCCAAGAATTTACTACGCACTGTTTACTATTTTCACGCACGCGAGTTCATTGATAAACAATGAACGTAAACAAAGGCTTCGGACCCTCGTATCTAAGAAACTAGCCACCGCATCGACTTGAAATTAAAATCGCTATATCTCCGGAACTAATAAAGCTATCGACTCGCACAAACGCTCATTTTAAAGGGCATTTCATCCTCTTTCTGATGACTATAAAAACTATTACAATTTATTTTTTCTTCCATGCTTATTTTGCAATTTACTTTGACGCGATCGACTTGAAACTAAAATCACTATATTTCCGGAACTAATAAAGCTATCCACTCGCACAAACGCTCATTTTAAACAGCATTTCATCCTCTATCTGATGACTATAAAAACTATTACAATTTATTTTATCTTCCATGTTTATTTTGCAATTTACTTTGACGCGATCGACTTGAAACTAAAATCACTATATTTCTGGAACTAATAAAGCTATCCACTCGCACAAACGCTCATTTTAAAGAGCATTTCATCCTCTTTCTGATGACTATAAAAACTATTACAATTTATTTTTTCTTCCATGTTTATTTTGCAATTTACTTTGACGCGATCGACTTGAAACTAAAACCACTATATTTCTGGAACTAATGAAGTTATCGACTCGCACAGACGCTCATTTTAAACAGCATTTCATCCTCTATCTGATGACTATAAATACTATTACAATTTATTTTATCTTCCATGTTTATTTTGCAATTTACTTTGACGCGATCGACTTGAAACTAAAATCGCTATATCTCCGGAACTAATAAAGCTATCGACTCGCACAAACGCTCATTTTAAAGAGCATTTCATCCTCTATCCGATGACTATAACAACTATTATAATTTATGCTATCTTCTATGTTTATTTTCACATTTACTTTGACGCTACGTACCTAAAGAAGTTTCAGCAATTCCTACCGATCGTACGACTGTATATTATACGATATAATGCAAAAATTAGGCGATTAGAAATCATTTGACCGGGCCATGGTAGGAATAGGTATACACGAAGTGTCGGTAGGTTTAGTGTTAATGAACAACAGAATTTACCTGGCAGCCGTGTTCACAGGACGTGTCATCGGCGCACTCGTTCTGATCCACGCAAAATCTGCCAGCCTGATCGAGCTTGAATCCTCTCGGGCAGATGCACCGGAAACTACCGAGTGTGTTGATGCAGGTGCCTGGTTTCGGGCAAGTTCCATGTTGGTCGCACTCGTTTATGTCTAGAGAAACACAAAATTATGCACTTCCAACGCTAAACAATTAAAACAGTTGAATTATACAATATTAAAAAAAAGAGGTCTAAGATTTTAGGATAAATTATCTATAAAATGTTAGATTCGTCAAAAAACTACAGAATTTAGTTAGTATGCAAGAATATAAGAAATACTTAAAGTAAGGTACGAATTATTGTATCTAGGGGTTGAGACAACCCTCTACAAAGCTCCAATTTCATTAATTTTATTAATAAAAATAGGAATTTGCATGAAGATCCGCAGTCTGGTAATGACAAACCGTGACAAGTGTCGCCATCTTGATTGTAACCCTCCTGGCAGCCGCAGGTGTAGCTGCCTTGAGTGTTGACGCAGTTTTGTTGGCACAGGTGATTTCCTGTCGAGCATTCGTCCATGTCTCTGCAACTGATGCCGTCAGGATTCAGAATGAAACCAGCTGGACAGGAACACGTGAAGCTTCCCTCCGTGTTCTGGCAGTTGTACTTGCAGGGCTTCGGCGTAACCTCGCACTCGTTTATATCTACAATTAAAAATTGAATACTTAGCGACAGGCGAATCTTAATCATCGTTTGAAACGACGACAACATGGTTCATTTTCAATTTTCTCCACATCTTCTTTGAAATTATATAAAACACTCACCGACACATTGGGTTCCGGACTTGTCAGGCTTGTAGCCCTTGTTGCAAACGCATCTGTAGGAACCCAGTGTATTGATGCACAGTCCGTTCTTACACAAGTCTGGAATCGTCTTGCATTCGTCGATGTCTGAAAGAAAACGTTCATAATTCCTAATCACGTGGCAAGACAGAGTATAGCAAAGTAGATCCAATCTAAATTTTACGAGTAACCCTTAACCCTTTGCACTCCTATGTCGAGTTCCAGTCGACACTTTTTCAAATCCAAACCAAAGAGATATCGTACACTTGCAACAACAGTGTAAATAAAACGGATATTTTAACAGGTAAATTTTAAATAAAACACTTAAAGGCAAAAAGGTTGGGAGCTGCTGGTAACAAAATTGAAATATAATTCGGAGTGCAAAGGGTTAAGAAAATGCGAGTACCTTGACCATCCACGGAGAAACCCTTGTCCAAGCACAGTTCGTTATAGTTCTCGGAGTCCTTGGACGGACAAATCTCGCAATGAGGTCCCCAAGCCGCCCCCATAGTGCAGCAACAGTCAGCTTTCGTGACTGTCCTCAAATCTGAGGTCCTGGCCGTGCATCTACCACCGATCGTTTGCAAGAAACAGTAGCCCACTCTGCGATCTGTAAGAGGATTCCCCTCAGAGCTTAACTCACAATCCACATCTAGTTCCAATTACCTATGCAAGATTTTCCGTCTTGACTCTGCTCGAAGCCGTCGTAACAGAGGCACTGATAACTGCCCTCCACGTTCACGCAACGTCCGTTCCGACAGAGACCGGAATTGATGGCGCACTCGTTGATGTCCTTGCACTCGTCGGTCATCCCGATTTGCTGATACCCGGGCGGGCAGATGCACATGAAGGACCCGATCAGGTTCTTGCACTGGTACCTGCAGTTGTTCGCGGGCGTCGCGCACTCGTCCACGTCTGAAACGATGATAAAAACCCACTCAGAAGTTTTGGAGACACGCCAGATGAGTGGGAGGAATAAATAAAGAGGAGACCTCAAACTCCATGAACAATTTCCTCTATATTTAAGTCGTCTATTTATTGTGCATGAACATTCGAAGATTACTCATCTGTAATACTAGAAGTAACAGTCTACTACTTAATTTCAACGATTCCAAAACGTCACATTGTGAACTATGTATAGCGTGTTCGCGAGAAGTTGGCTAGCAAGACTCATTGCTAGCAACCAATCAAAGCTACGCATTCCTTCCGCTAGCCAGCTTCTCGTGGACTCACAGTAGGTATCGACGAGTGCAGCAGAGATTCGTGAGGAAGATTAGCCGTACCTATGCAGTGTCGTCCATCGGGAGCCAAGGTGTACCCGTAAGGACAAATGCACCTGAAGGAACCAGGAGCATTGTGGCACCTGAAGGCACACTGGTTGCCAATCTCCAGGCACTCGTTCACGTCCTCGCAAACTTGGTTCACTCCAGGAGTGAAACCCTCGTTGCAGAAGCACTCGAAGCTACCGTCGATGTTCGTGCAGGTCCCGTTGCCGCATATGTTCTGCACGGCCTGGCACTCGTTGTTGTCGATGCAGTGTCTGCCGCTGGCGTCCAGGACGTATCCCGAGGGGCACTCGCACCTGAAGGAGCCGTCTGTGTTTATGCACTCGCCGCCGGAGCAAGCGTCCGGCATGAAGAGGCACTCGTTCAGGTCGATACCAGTGTCGTCCCTTCCTGGCCCCTCGGGGCACAGTCTCCTGAACTCCTCTGGATGGAGACAATTTATCGTTAGAGACTCGTGCAAACACCAGACCTAATCCAGACCTAACCCAGACCTAACCCAGACCTAACCCAGACCCTGGTCCGTTACTCGCGTTGTCTCTGGAGAGAAAAGAATAATTACCGCTGTTATCTGGAGGGCATTGCTCGCAATATCGTCCCCAAGCCTTTCCCATTGTGCAGCAACAGTGTTTCTTCGTCATTCCACCGGTTCGAGGGTAGCCACAACGTCCTCGCGTGTAACTGTCGTAACAGGACTCCTCTCTTACGTCGATGCACCTCATCGAATTCGGTTTGTCGCTCAGTTGGAACCCAACTGGACAGTCGCAGATCACTCCACCTTCAGTGTTCAGGCAACGACCGTTCTCACAGATTCCTGGTGTCTCCACGCATTCGTCGACGTCTACGAGCACGGGAATATCATTTATTTCTGTCGAAATTCACCTTCGACGTGTGAAAAAGAGTCCAAAAAACAGGTGTTTTGTAATTTATAATTGCATTTATATTTACGGAGATATCGTCGACTTCTGGGACAGGTTCTATATAATTATGCAATTTTTACCTACCCACGCATTTCTTCCTCGTGTAATCCAACTCGTAACCAGGTGGACAAGCGCATATGTAAGATCCCATTAGGTTTTGACACTTTCCTGGCGATAGACAGAGCCCAGGTATCTAACGCAATTGTTGATCATCGAATGGTAATTTTGAGCGATCGAATTTAAGAAAAATTGAACAAAATTATCGTGTTGACTTGAAATTGTTAAAGCACCTACCTCGTGACACTCGTCGATGTCCCTGCAATGTTGTCCGTCTTGAGCTAACACGTAACCATCGGCGCACTCGCAATTGAAGGCACCGATCGTGTTTCGACATCTCCCGTTGCGACAGAGGAACGGCATAATTCGACACTCGTCGATATCTGGCTCACAATTTACAGCGGTACAGTAACTAACAGCACGTTAATTATTCCCGAAAAATCATGAGATCATAAGATCATTGTTTCGAAAGTCACGCTGTACGGAAGGATCTAACATCGAATAAACGATCTCAAAAATGGTGTATTGCACTGCCATTAAAGAAATAACTTTGCACTTTCGTATAGCATCTATTACAATATTAGCTTAAGATCATTGTTTCGAACGAAAGTCACGCTGTACAGAAGGATCTAACATCGAATAAAGGATCTCAAAAATGTTGTATTGCATGGCCTCCATCTTCCAAGGAATATTAAATAAATAAATAACTTTGCACTTTCGTATAGGATCTATTATAATATTAGCTTAAGATCATTCCAAATCGATCGCTTTTTTCGCCATTTTTATAAAAATCGTAAACTTTGGAAGCCTGTGTATTTTTTTAAAGAGTTCGAAATCAGAAAAATGGCGACTTAAACAACCCCTAATATATATCGTATTAAATTTTGAACGAGAGAGAAAAGATCGATAATTTTGAGTAACTAACCGGCGCAATCGTTGTTAGGGCTGAGCTTGAATCCCTCGTAACAGCTGCACTTGTAGCCTCCACGCGTGTTCACGCATGTTCCATTGTTGCAAATGTTCGGATTCCGCTGACACTCGTCGATGTCCACGCAATTGTCTCTGTCCCGCGTCAGCGCGAAACCGGAGTGACAGACGCACTGAAAGCTGCCCTGCAAATTGTTGCAGGCACCGTTGTTGCAGATCCCAGGCCTCTCGTAGCACTCGTCGATATCGACGCAGTCCCGTTGACTCAATCCAAGTTTGTATCCGGCTGGACAGTCGCATTCGAAGTAGCCTTGCTTGTTTATGCACTGAGCGTTACCACTGCAGGGATTTGGAATCTATGGAACAAGAATGTTAGAGTCTATTGCCTATCATTCTCAATCCCCCACTCGTTTGGGATGAAAAGTTTTTCTCGTTTAAAAGGTATAGCAACCACTGGGACTAGGATCTAGAAAAGGTGGACTTTGTATTTTTTGTGTTTTTTACCTGTAGACACTCGTTCTCGTCGATACACTGATGCGAGTCCTCGTCGTAGACGTACCCCCGATCGCACTGGCATTCGAAACTCCCAGGTGTGTTCATGCAACGACCATGGGTGCACATAGTTGGCATGAGAGAGCACTCGTCGATCTCCTCGGTGTGATTGGTTATGGGGTTCATTATCTGGCCGGGCACCATGCCGCACAGAACCTCATGCTCGCCTGAAATCAAGTTTTCGTTCAACTAGACGCGCTAGAATTTTAGTCGAATCGTTTAAAACCCAAGTTTTGTTAGAAAAGAATGCTATGGAATATTCTCTGTTCTTACGAGTCCTTTCGGCAGGACACTGTTCGCAAGGACTGCCCCAAGCTGCTCCCATCGAACAGCAGCACAACATCTTCGTTTGGGGATGCATCATGGGGTTGAAGCATTCACCCGACTCGTAGCTCAGGTAACACGATTCCTTTCTCATGTCCACGCACTCCTCTGACGAATCGAATGATCATTATTGAATTTTAAAGACACGGTTTATTACAAATTCAAGTATAATTTACGCACTTCCTCCTGGCATTGCCATGTACCCTTCTGGACACTCGCAGTGGTACTTTCCTTGGTCGTTGATGCAGTATCCCACACCACATATGTGCGGATGCAACGAACACTCGTCGATATCTACAAAATTAATGATATTTTTGCTAGGATACTATTTTTTATTCCAATTTCTCTGTTTATAATGTAGGATCTTAAATTTGGATATTATCCTGCTATTTGGTTGGTTCATCTTCACAGAATATAACAAATACTAAATATACAAAATCATTCCTGATTTTCGAATAGATACTGCGTCTATATTTAAAATCATATATCAGTCTATATAATAATAGATCATATATAATAATAAAATATATCAATAAATAAAATCATTCCTGTCTGTCGCCATCTTGGACACAACCTTCGTGAATGCTAAAGATGAAAGATCGTTACCGATGCAGCTGGTTTTGGTGTCGTCCAAGATGAAGCCCTCGTTGCAGGAGCACATGAAGCTGCCAAAAGTGTTGGTGCAATGGCCGTTTTGGCAGATGTTCTCGTGCTCGTCGCACTCGTTGATATCCTCCAGGATCACGGTGATCTGATTGGGTCTGTATCCGGGCCCACCTGGGCACAGTTCCTCGAACTCCTTGGTCCCATCTTGGGGGCACTCCTCGCAGCGATTGCCCCAAGCGTTGCCGATGCTGCAGCAACACGTCGCCTTCGTCACCGACGAGGACATTTCGAAGACGCATTGTGGTCTTCCGTTACCGTGCTCGAAACCGGTGTAACACGACGATTCTCGTCTATCTGTTACGCAAAGACCAAACCAACTATAATCATGTAAATGGAGGCTCAGAGCTACCCTCGAAACTCTAAACTAGAGACACATTCCTTTCACTGCCCAACTTCTCGCGAACTCATGGTACAGACGCCATAATGCACACATAGATTAAGCCAATGATCGACTGTTCAATCGTCATCGTACCCCACAAGTCTCTTCATTTCACAATTAGAGACCCCACAGAGCCAATTTTCGAAGGTCTACTCACCTACGCAAGCGTTCCCAGCTTCGACCAGGTCATGATTAGGCGGGCACTTGCACAGGTACTTGCCCTGAGTGTTCACGCAAGTGCCATACTGACAAGATTGAGGATTCTCGCACTCGTCGATGTCCGTGCAGTTCCCTCCAGAGCCGTCCAGCTTGTATCCGTCGTTGCACTCGCAACGGAACATCCCGAATATGTTCTCGCAGCGGCCAAACACGCAGAGGTTGCTGAACATCTCGCACTCGTTTATGTCCACGCAAGTTTGGTCGTTGTTTTCGTCGGGGTGCATGAAGCCCATCTCGCATTCGCAGCGGAACGAGCCAGGGTAGTTTAGACAATGGCCATTCTCGCAAAGGGTGTTGTCGTTTGCGCACTCGTCGATATCCTTGCAGTCGTAGCCGTCTCCTCTGAAGCCAGCATCGCAGACACACTGAAATAGACAAGAATCAATCTTACAAATTGACCTTTTCATCGACGTCAATTCTTTAGCACATTGTTCGTCAAATAAGATTAACCCCTTGACGTACGATTCAATTTCAAATAATTCGGACAAAGAATGGCCACGAAAAAGACTAGATTTATTTTATGAACACCTAGTAAATGTAAAAATTTTAATATACATGTAAGACTTCATGAAGAGTGAGTAGCCTCATGATTGTGAAACTTGACATCAAGAAGAGTCAGACTCGTAATTGTAGGCAAGGGGTTAACGCAGCCTGATTTGTGGCCTATTGGTGGTAGTTTAAACGTTTGAATTAGGAAGATCCTGTCCTACCTTGAAGGATCCCTCGGTGTTGATGCACTGTGCGTTGGAGTCGCATCCTCCGTTGTTCGTGAGACACTCGTTGATGTCTCTGCACTCGACCCCGTTGCCCACGAAGCCTTCGTGGCAAGTGCACTCGTACGAGCCTTGAGTGTTCTGACACTCCGCGAACTCGCTGCAGGAGTACGCGTTCAGTAGACACTCGTCGTCGTCGGTGCAACCGGGACCAGCTTCCGGTTTCACGGAGTATCCTTCCTCGCAGCGACAGTTGAAAGACCCGATGGTGTTGTAGCACTCGCCGTACCCGCAAATATGGGGCTGCGTTGTGCATTCGTCGACATCTAAGCAAAGATACATGTTGCAAATACTGTAATCTTTCCACTGTTGAGATATACGAGCCTATAGAATTATATAAAATTGATTGCACTTGAATAGTGCTTCTAAAACACTTTTTTTGCTTTGTTTACCTATGCAGGATGCACCGTCCTTCCCAGGCAGGAGGCCATCGATGCAGGTGCACACGTAACCGCCAGGAATATTGCTGCATTTACCGCCATTGCAAATTCGGGGATTCTCTTTGCATTCGTCGACGTCCACGCAGGATCTTCCGTCGAGATTCAACGCGTAGCCGGTGCTGTTGGCGAAAAGGTCAAAAAACTATATTTTTTCCCTTCTATAGCAGTGGTTCTTAAACTTCTCTCAAGTGTTTTCTCCATAAAAAAATTCTGAAGTCTCAGGAAGAATTCGAAATACAAAATCCCTGTAATTTCCACGAACGTTCGATACAAAAATAAAAAATTGAACTTCAGGGGAACTAATAATAAAAATAAAATGAATAAATGAAATAGAAACTTTTAAAATATGGATAGAAAAAATTGTACGTTTATGAAACTTCACCTTCGATTATTTTATAGTGTTTAAACCTTCACCTGCAGGAGCAAGAGAAACTGCCTGGGGTGTTTATGCAGATGTCCTCGCATCCTCCTGAGGAGATCGCGCATTCGTTTATGTCTTCGCAATGAGACTTCAATCCTGTTTGCTGATAACCATCGTCGCATATGCACTGGTAGGTGCCCATCATGTTCTCGCAGACGCCATTCGAGCAGATTCCGCTGGTTCTCGAGCACTCGTCGATGTCCTTGCAGGACTGTTTGTCAGGACCTAACTCGTGCCCGGGTGGACACTGACACTTGAAACTGCCCTCTGCATTGAGACATGTACCTCCCAAGCATAATCCCGGTGTCTCCTCGCACTCGTTTATATCTGAAATTTACATCCACTGTAGTAATATCACCTCGCAAATTATTATGATCTCTGCCTCGTTAGGTGTCACAGAATTATCCTCATCGTTCAACAGCATTTAACACCAAACCTACTTTATGCTCTCCTTCATGTTTATTTTTACATTTACTCTGACGTTTTATGCTCAAAGAAGCTTCAACAACCCCCTATTGATTATACGACTCGTGTGTGATAAAACTGGATTATAAATTGTTTATTTAATCCAAAATTTAATATTTAAATTTGTGTACAAGATGATTGCTTAATTACTAGCCAGAATTTAAAGAAGAAAGAAAACGAAAGACTGGTCGCTAAGTTTAGCGTCGATATCCTCATAACCCTTGAGAGTTTCAATAGAAATTTTGATTCAGTAAAATACCGCCACAGAAAGTGTCTCAAAAATAAATTGAAAAATTAAAAATTAATAGTTCTACTCACCCATGCAAATCTTCATTATATCGCTGCTTCGATATCCCGGATTACAGTCACACTGGAAGTTTCCAGGCGTGTTCCTGCAGGTACCATTTCCACACACTCCGTGCATGATCTCGCACTCGTCAATATCTATATAAAAATAAATAAATGGCGATCCATATATGTGGATTCCTTGCGAAAGATCGGTGGATTTTACTCTGGCTACAGTAATGAAAAACAGTGGATGGCTCACCGTTGCATTTAATTCCATGCTCGTCCAACGCGAACCCCTGATTGCACTTGCAACTGTAACTGCCAACCGTGTTCTTGCACCTTCCGTTCAGGCACATTCCAGGGAACTCCACGCACTCGTTGATGTCGTGTTTGTCGGTGAAACCATCCCCCCTGGGGCACAGCTCGTTGTGCGCGTGGCTGCCTGGTTTCGGGCAGGATTCGCACCGTTCGCTACCCCACGCGCGACCAACCGAACAGCAGCAGAGGCTCTTCGAAAACTGTCCATCGATGGGATTAGAACACTGCCCGTGACGATACTCCATGAAACACGTCTCCTGTCTCGTGTCTATGCAGGTGGAATCTGAGGAAAACGAACCAAACCCCAATTTTGCAACTCAATCTTTGGATAATCAAGATCCCCCATGAAGAAGTATATTTGGAGATTCATTTAACCCTCTGTAATCCAAGATCTTGAAGTCGTGTACCCATTTTTTGTGTTTTAAAAGTTTGATTCAATCCTATTGTTAATATTTATCACCTGGACTTTAAAGCAATAAGGCCTACGGTCGGTTTACAACGCCTATTGTACGAAATCTGATACCAGGGTGGTTTCAGTTGAAAGTTTGCGTTTATCTGTGGTAAATGGGGGGATTCTGAAACTCACGTGATGCGTCTAAAGTCAATCCAGGTGGACACTCGCAACGATAAGACCCATCCGTGTTGACGCAGGTACCGCCACCCTTGCATATTCCGCTGTTCAATTCGCACTCGTTCACGTCCACGCAATCCTTACCGCCGAATTTCGCGTACCCTTTCGAGCACTCGCAGATAGAATGATCGCAAATCTCGCAAGGACTACCCCACGCAACCCCTACAGAGCAACAACACTCCGATTTCAACGCCAGCCGCGGCAGATTATACTCGCAGCGTCCATCTATCATCTTGGTCCAGCAGGAGCCTTTCCTGTTATCTAAAAGACATAATCATCTTCTAATTATCAATGCAGTTTCAGTTTATTTATCTTGGATCGACGCAAAACTTTTTGAAGGGCGTTTACACACATTTTTGAGCGTTTATTCTCAATTTTAAATGTTTACATTCACGTATTCTATAATGTGATCCTTATTAAGTTTTAAGTAAGTGTTTATACCCATGCAAATGTGACCAGTGTGATCGAGGACGTATCCAGGGGAGCATTCGCACTCGTAGGAGCCTTCAGTGTTCAAACAGATCCCGTTCACACAGATATCCGGGCCAAGTTCCTCGCACTCGTCGATGTCCTCGCACATGTGATCCTGTGTACTGTATCTCATGCCACTTGGACAAATGCACTGTTTCAAAAAAAATGCAATAGTGTGTCAGTTGTTTCATAACATTTCTAATAACAGTAGCAATTGAATTATTTAACATCGTATACAATTTTACAAGTATCAGGGTCCTTTCATTGTAGACTACTTCCTCTCTAATAAGAAATCGAGACATTTTAAGGTATTTACTTGCCTGGAAGCTACCAGGTGTGTTACGACATTGGCCTCTGCTGCACAGAGACTCCTCCAATTCGCACTCGTTTATGTCGCTGCAGATTTTACCAGTGGCGTCCACTTCGTAGCCACTGTCGCAGATGCAACGATAAGTTCCCATGAGGTTCTCGCAGCCCCCATTCACGCAAATGTTGGGATTCTGTGCACACTCGTTGATATCTGTTCGAACGAATTACAGATTACTCCCAATACTCTTATAAGACTGACAATTACATTATTTTATTATAGAACACAGCGTAATATATTCTATTTAAACTTTCGATTATCCAAATGATGTTATAAAAATGTTTTATATTTATAACGTTTATATAAAAGAAAATTTTCTTCTCTTTAAAATGGTGGCACTGTTTGGAATTTGAGTAGTAGCGGGGAGGGTTCTTTTGCGTATAAAACACAACCTAGCACCCTACTTGCTAGATAGCTATCTAGTTCACTCCTTGCTACGTAGCTACATAGCCCATTCCTTGCTAGCTAGCTACGTAGCTCACTCCTTGCAAGCTGGCTACCTGGCCAACTCCTTGCTAGCTACCTACCTAGCACACTCCTTGCTAGCTAGCTACCTAGCTCAATCCTTGCTAGCTAGCTACCTAGCTTACCCCATGCTAGCTGGCTACCTGGCCCACTCCTTGCTAGCTAGCTACCTAGCTCACTGCTTGCAAGCTGGCTACCTGGCCAACTCCTTGCTAGCTACCTACCTAGCACACTCCTTGCTAGCTAGCTACCTAGCTCAATCCTTGCTAGCTACCTACCTAGCACACTCCTTGCTAGCTAGCTACCTAGCTCAATCCTTGCTAGCTAGCTACCTAGCTTACCCCATGCTAGCTGGCTACCTGGCCCACTCCTTGCTAGCTAGCTACCTAGCTCACTGCTTGCAATCTAGCTACCTAGCTCACTCCTTGCTAGCTAGCTACCTAGCTCACATGGGGTGAAACTTTTGCATTACTATCATAGTTTCACACTGCTTGCAAGATGAAATATTGATTTAGTGTTCTTCAACCAGTATTTAAAAAAAAATTGAAATGCAATTGAACTCTTTCTTCAGTTACCGTCTCCATTGTAAGTCATTCCAGCGCCATGAGGACACAGTGCTTCGAATTCGTTGGATCCAGGAAGTGGACAAGCTTGACAATTACTTCCCCATCCCATTGGTTGTCCCAGGACCACGGTGCAACAGCAACAACTTGATTTCGTTACAGCAGTCGACGCTGGATTCGAGCACTGTCCATCCCTGTACTGCGAGTAGCACAAGTCTCTTCTTGTATCTGATGACAAAACGTGCCATTTGTTCCACTCTGTGGTCCAATAACAAACGGAGCTTAATATTTGATTATTAAAGAATTTAAACCAACCCAAGCAAGATCTTCCGTCTGGTCCCAAATTGAATCCGGGATGACACTCGCACCGGAAGCTACCAGGCGTGTTGATGCAGCGGCCATTTTGGCACGGTCCGCTCAGACACTCGTCGATATCTAATCAAATATCATCTTTCACATATTAGAACTCTAAAAAATCTATAAAGAACTCTTAATCGACATAGTGGAGTGAAAATAGCCTGCACCGTGATTTTAATATCTAATATCTAATACTCATTAGCAATATTTCAGCTCAGAGGTAGTTCACCGAACGAAGTAAACATTTCACCTAATATTTTTACGCAATTATCACACCGATTACGTAATAAGTGTGTCAGACTTTAAATTGAGGGTTGAAATTAAAATTAAATTTTTAACCATGAATGTGTTAAATTACGAGTAAATTAAATTAAAATAAGAGGATTTGGTGAAATAATAACGATGGTCAAATTAGGTAACCGAGGACTAACAGCTCTAACTGGCCTAATTAGTCGAAGCACACACCGATACAGTGGCTCTGATCGGGTCCAATCCGGAAGCCAGAATCGCAGACACACTTGAAGGAGCCCTCCATGTTCACGCACTTCCCATTCTCGCACATTCCGCTGGTGGAACATTCGTCCATGTCCACGCAGAACGTGTTGTCCCGCGAGGCCGTGAACCCCGACTGACAAATGCAGTGATACGATCCGGGGGTGTTTTCACACCTGCCGTTCAAACATATTCTCGGATTGTCGGCGCATTCGTTGATATCTGCAAGCAAGAAGTCCAATTAATTACTACTTAACCCCTTAACGCTCATATTTTTCGGGTTAACCAAGAATAATCAGTTTTCTTTATTGGATTTGTTTCCAAGTTGTATAAAAATGCGACTTTTGTTAATTGTAACGTAACCGACGTATAATTCGAAAAAAAAACAAATATTGTCATCCCTTAAACAATTAGATCAAAGAAATATCGTCTTTCAAAGCAGTCAGACTCAAGTATGAGCGTTAAGGGGTTAAAGACTGTTCACCCTGTTCAGTTCACCCTTGAGACCAGTTTTGTAGCTTTCACGCCATTTTATAGTGTACACCCTCTCGTGGATGTTTGCTCTTGTTCTCGAATATTTTAGAGTAATTACCGATACAAGTATTCTTGGTAGGAGACAATGCATAACCATCGTTGCACTTGCACTTGAACGACCCGTTCATGTTGATGCAGTGGCCATTGTTGCACATCCCCGTGTCCTGGCACTCGTCGTGATCTGCAAAGAAATTATGTTTCAATCCTCAGAGGGCTGTTTCTCGATGAAATCTTCCAATCTTCCTGTTATTTCATTTTCTCTTTTTGGACAAATTCTTAAAATCAGGGACTCCTGCTTTTTCAAAAATGGATGCTTTCGTGAGAGAAACCTGTCTGTGACTGAGTGTCACGAGAAAATTATTTCAGCTCTTTTTAGCATTCAGGACCAGAAACCCCCCCTTAACCCTTTGGACTCCTATATCGAGTGTGATTCAACATCGATTTTTATTTCAGGAGCTCCCACTCTATATCATACACTAGAAAATTACAAAATACAACAACAGTGTGAATGAAACACTTATTTTCAACAGGTAAATTTCAAATAAAGCTCTTAAAAGCATTGGGAGCCGCTGTTAACAAAATTGAAATATAATTCGCAGTGCAAAGGGTTAATTATTTTTCTCTGGATAATTTTGGATGGAATGGAAACTTTGTTGGTAGAATTACCAGTGCAGTATCTTCCCTCTCCGGAGACCACAAATCCTGGCGGACAGTGGCATGTGAAACTGCCCTCGTAATTCCTGCAGGAACCGCCCTGGCAGTAATCCAACTGGCATTCGTCGATGTCCTCGCATCTGCCGGCCTTCTTGGCGAACCCTGGATAACACTCGCACTCGTATCCGTCCTTCGTGTCGATGCACTTCCCGTTTCCGCAAATGTCCGGACGCAGCACGCACTCGTTTATCGCGGTGATCGGCTGCAGTTGTTGCAAACACAGCCTGTTGTAATCGTCTATAATTGAGTAATAACACGGATCCTGTTACTCACAGTTCCTGTCACCATTGCCCCCTCTTATCATCTAGGACACTCGGTTTTTGCTACAAATCACAACGTTCTATGCAAACTGTGCAAAATCAACCGAGAACGTACGACTCTTACAACTATTGAACAATTAGTTTCGACCAGATCGCAGTCTAGAATCGATTTTTTTTTATTTGAGGATACTCTCTGGTATAGCTGACAGTTTTTTAACTATCGTTTTCGTCGTTTTACGTACCGCTTCCGGTGTTGGGGCAGATGAAGCACTCGTCGCCCCAGCCTCGACCCATGTTTTTCCCGCAACAGCAGTCTTTCTTGCTCAGTCTCATTGCCAATCGATTCTTGCATTGGCCGTTTCTGTTCACCGAGGTGTAACACAACCCTTGTCTTCCATCTTTATTCAAAATACAAACTGATTAACTCCAGTTTCATTTAACACAGCAGTAATTCCATGGGATCAAAGTTTCTATATAAGCAAATGTTTTCCAAAGTAAGTGGAAACTGTAACTGTGTTATTTTTGGCTTATTTACATCGTATGTATCAACAAGAACAGAGAAGCAATTGATAAAAGTAAAAAATGAATTAATTTTTGAAAAGTTTGGAAACCACTGCTAATTTCATCGTTCTTACCGATTAAAAATAAAAGTAGTTTCATCGTTCTTACCGATGCAGTATCTTCGATCCTGGCTCTGAATGAATCCTGGATTGCACAGACAGTAGTAACCACCTTTCGTGTTTATGCATCGTCCATCAGCACAGATGCCTTCTTCCTCGCACTCGTCTCGATCTTTGCACGAGTTCGTCTCGAGATCCCTGGCTTGTCCATCGGGACATTCGCAGGTGAACGAACCAGGTGAATTAACACACTTTCCACCCTCGCACAGACCTGGTATCGCCTCGCACTCGTTGATATCTAAACAGTTTTCGACAATGCATCGCTTCTTTGCGTACAATACTATGAAATTACGCGTACAAAGTTTGTTGGCCCAATGTATACTGTTCTCGGTCTAAATATGGCGAAGCTAGACTCTTGTGAAACGCAATCACGATCGTCATTTGCTGACCGCGAGCCTGGTTCGTGAAATTCATGTTTTCGGGCCAAACGAGAAGAGGGTAAATATTCTTTTAGCGAAACGAGAGCCTGAATTTTGTCTCTTGTCAGCACATTAACAATCAAATATTGTTAACGAGTCCCTAACGCCCACATTGAAGCGTTTTAAATGTATCATATTGAACATATATGATAGAAGACGAAACATGCGATGAAAATTGTAAAATTAGGATTCGTTTCTTGAGTAATTAGAAAGAGTAATAGTTAACAATTTTTACACATATACAGGGTGTTCGGCCACCTCTGGGAAAAATTCTAATGGGAGATTCTGGAGACTAAAATAAGACGAAAATCATAGAAAAAAATTTCAAATCATAGTAAAAAAATTATTTTCAGCTGCGGGGGTTAATTACAATCATCTTTAGTTAATAGACCTACCCCCAAAATCGTACGCATTCTCGAGAAAAAAATTCGAGTAGAAGCTAAAATTTCTCGATAAAATTAAAACATTTCAAATCGTCCTGAAAAATATATTGTCACTTGCAGGGATAATTTACAATCATTTTTGGTGAATAGACATACCCCCGAAATCCTACGCATTATCAAGAAAAAAATTCAGACAGTTGGTGAAATTTTTTGACGAAAAAAAAAATTTTCAAAACATTCTAAAAAAATTATTTTCGATTGCAGGATTCGATTACAATCATTTTTTGCCATTACGCGTATCCCCGAAATCCTACACATTTTCAAGAAAAAAATTCGAGAAGATGCCTAAATATTTCGACGAAAAAGAAAAATTTCAAATCGTTCTGGAAAAATTATGTTCGATTACGGGGCTCAATTACAATCATTTTTGGTCAATAGACATACCCCCGAAATCCTGCTCATTTTCGAGAAAAAAATTCAGTAGGGGCGGAACTTTGAATGTTAATAACTTTTTAACAAAGCCTCCATCAACAAATTGGTATTCTTGATTTTCGTCCTATTTTTACCTCTAGAATCTTCTATTACAATTTTTCCCAGAGGTGGCCGAACACCCTGTATACGAACATATACGATAGAAGACGAAACATGCGATGAAAATTGTAAAATTAGGATTCGTTTCTTGAGTAATTAGAAAGAGTAATAGTTAACAATTTTTACACATATATACGAACATATACGATAGAAGACGAAACGATGAAATGCGATGAAAATGTACAATTAGGCTTCGTTTCTTGACTAATTCGAGATACTAATAGCTAAAAATGTTCACCAGTGTTTTAATTGCTTACCGACACATTGGCCTTGGTTGGTTTTCAGGTGTCCCAACTCGCAGTCCAGTCTGGCGGGACACCTCTCGCAAGGGTGGCCCCAACCCTTGCCCACTGTAGCACAGCACAACTGTCTCGTGCAAACCACCCCTTGAAGGTTCGCCAAACATTGTCCGTTCCTCACCTTCGTATAACACGGACCAGTTCTGAGGAAATAATCAACGAAAAACGCAGCATTAAGTACAATTACACATAATCGAAGCCTCCATTGTTTACCTGTAATCTGATTCGCAATGTCTGCCGGTGTATCCGTAAATGCAGGCACACCTGTCTGGACCCACGCAGCGTCCTTGATTCAAGCAAGGCTCTCGACAGATTGCTGTTTAGTTAATTGACAGAAGAATAATTATATAAATTTTTATTGTGTTATATTTCATGGATTTTTGAAGGTATTAACTACTTTCTATGATACGTTTAAAAAACTTTGTTTTTATTATTATTGTAATTGGGGTTATTCGATTTCTCATTGTTCCTACTCAATTTCAAATTTTCCTCGCAACTTTGAAATCTTTCGAAAAACTTTGTTTCCATTATTATTGTAATTGGAGTTATTCGATCCTATTCGATTCCTCATTGTTCCTACTCAATTTCAAATTTTCCTCACAACTTTGAAATCTTTCGAAAAACTTTGTTTCCATTATTATTGTAATTGGGGTTATTCGATTCCTCATTGTTCCTACTCAATTTCAAATTTTCCTCACAACTTTGAAATCTTTCGAAAAACTTTGTTTCCATTATTATTGTAATTGAAGTTATTCGATCGTAAACTTGAATTTACGAAAATCTTGAAAATTTGATAACCTCGTGAAAAATCACAATGGAAATTTATTAATTTTTCTGAATTTTTTCCCCATCTTCCAGAATCTCTTTTTCGTTTGATTTATTACAAGTATTTTAAATAACTTAGATAATTTAGAAATTTTTAGAAATTTAGATAACTCACGTTCGTTGCAGTACTCTCCTTGATATCCACTGCGACATTGGCATTTGCCATCCACGCAATTGCCATGTTTGCAAGGTACTTTGCATTTTCCAGACTCTATCCTGTCCAGTGCATTACCATTCTCGTTTATGGAAGCTGTCGAAATAAATGAATAATACAGGTAGAAAAATTCCTTAAAATTATCAAAATTTTGAAATTAGAAATTTCTGAAGCGTTTGTTTACCTTTGGTTTGGCTGCTACCGCAAGACGAGGCCACGCTGCCACCCTCGCACAAGCAAATATTCGGCCTGATGCATCTGCCTGTTGGTCCACATCGTCTCGAGCACACAGCTAAAAAAATAATACTTCCTTGCTAAATATTTCAAATTTCATTCTGTAAAAATGATTTTTAAAAATGCCTTAATTTCTTAAACCCTTCGACTTATTTTTGCACGAGAAATCACGATGTCTCCCTCGGATATCATCAGGAGATTATTTGTTTTTATTCCATCTTTCGTGGTTGAAAAAGTGGGAGTGAAATCTTGGAACCCAACCCCACTGTGCATCGATACGCAACCGAATTACGAGTAGACAATGCAATCAACAGGAAGCATGTAACAGTCCATTAAAGCAATTTCGCTCGCTGGGCCGATCGGTCATGTCGCCATGAACGGCCGTTTGTCCGTTGCTCAATTGCGCGATTATTATCATCGCGTAAAAGCGCAGTCGATACGCTAAAATTGAATGCACTCGCTCGAGAGCACGGACAGCCGGGCGTTTATGAGATCACGTCCAATTACAGGAGCATAGACTCACGGAGAATTTTAATTGAGCTTCGATACAAGATGGGCGCAGCTAAGTACTTACGGATCACGCAGTACCCTGTTTCTGGCTTCTTCGTCCAACCGGGGCAACAGTAGTTCTTGAACCTTGACCTGCACACGTTTGGCCTGGAAAATCATGCGAACACATCGTCATCTTTCCGTTCAAATCGATAAAAAGAAAAGTCCTATAATAGAGCTTTCGTTTTTAATTAAATCACTTTGTATCCTTTCATTGCAAACTGACGATCGACACGATTTGGAATCGATATAAGTAGAAATAATGAACAGACAAATTTCTATTATTATCTCGAAAATTAAAGACTTTATTCCACGATTTCGATGTATTTCGCTGTGTATCGAAGCAGAGGGCTCGAAGGGATTTTGAATTGTTGAAAGTTTCATGACGAAACGTTCATGGTTGCTTCGATTCGCGTCCAAAGGAATCGTTAAAGGTCTCCGACACTGCTGGTGTTCTTATGGAAAATTCTGTTGGCATCCGACTGCCACTGCTATAGTAGAATTAACCTCCGAGTGACCTTGGATGAACAATTAATTTTGATCCAACTATAGATACATCTGGGTACTCGAGGCGCATCGATGCTGCTATGCGCCTTTCCGATGTCATCTATTTAGGTTACTACTCGTGGCACGGATCATTGATCATCAACCACTGTTTTTAATTGGCCAGCTGATCAATTAAGAACTGGAAGCACGGCGTTCCTTGGAATGCTAATCCATGATATATACTACTGATGTTACTATTGCAATCTTAGATCCCTTTACAAATTAGCTTACGAATTAGAGAAATTCGAAATAGACAATGTCGATTACAAAATTAGTCATTGTGAAATTATAATTTTTATTGAAATTCGTTATTCGAAATTGTTATCTGAGTAAGAAATGTTCCTCTCTCTGGCCCTGAATGACCAGTTGATTTTGCCCCCCCCACAAAGCTTATTCTAACTTTATTAATACGCTGATGGTCACATATCATGCATGCATATATGTGCGACGCTAATATTTCAATTACCGCAGAGCCATCTCTTAAAACATGACATTCAAACGTCTAAAAGTGCGATTTTAATTTCAAAAAACACATTTGAAAGTGAAATTAATTTAAAAAACAAAACTGCAACCTCTGTGGACGTTTCATGGTTGATCGAACGTCCACAAAGAGGGATTAAAATTGACTGAGAGAGAATTGAGTGCATCAAGGACTCTAAATTTGAAAGGGATGGATCTCGACAAGGATTTTACGGTGGTTTCGACCTCGACAAAGTGCAAACGTTTCGCTCAGAGATCCCCGATTCGGCTGATAACGTGTAAACGAGGTCGCCCTCGCTATCAGAAGGCGGAAACGCGATATTTTTTTCGAACTGGCGTCGGTAACGCGGTATCGTGCCACGCGCGCCGCTCTCGAGCACCACCAAGAAGAAGAAAGAATGAGAAGAGAACGCGGTGTGCCACCTCGGAACAAGGCGGCCATTCACATTGAGCGACTCGTAATTAACGTCAGCTGCTATGGGCAGCCCTCTAAGTACTTCCACTTACGCGCCTCGGCGCCAACGCCGCGCCGACATATTTAAGCGTCTGTAAACGCGACCCTCTTCATTCTTTCATTCGATGGCCGATGAAAATCGCCAAATCCCCGATTAAATCGTTTCACGCGACGAAACGTACACGCATTCCGTTGCAAACGCCAGAAACGACCGATCGAAGAACATTTACCAAAATGAATTTCTCAATTTATTGGAATAATTTTCAGAATTATTACGATAACCGAATAAAGAAGCTTCGATTGCACTTAAATTTTCTTTAAATACTGGTTGAAAAAACACTGATTCGATATTTAATTTTGCAAGCAACGGTGAAACTATGGGAGTAGTACGTTATTGCTCGGTTATATGCAAAGGTTTCGCCCCCGATATATGCGAAAGAACCATCCCCCACTATTCATGTTCCTTCGTACTCGAGCAATCGAACTTCGATTCGAGGTCTATCATTTGAAACAATGTAAATTGAGGTACAGATATAAAAGATGTATATGTACAAGTTTAAAAGATGACACTGACTGTATAGGTGGCAGTAAGTGGATCTTTTATCAAGTGGGTTGAAAAATATACATGTGGGACATCTTTGATAGTAACATCTTCGTCGTCTTGAGGTTCCAATGGTATTTTAGGTTCTAATTCTATCGAAAGTACAACAGATCTCAACAAGTATATCTAATACCAATGACAACTTATTTCGATATTAGTTTGACGCATCACAATCATTTGACATGTAAATATAAAAGATGTATATGTACAAGTTTAAAAGATGACACTGACTGTATAGGTGGCAGTAAGTGGATCTTTTATCAAGTGGGTTGAAAAATATATATGTGGGACATCTTTGATAGTAACATCTTCGTCGTCTTGAGGTTCCAATGGTATTTTAGGTTCTAATTCTATCGAAAGTACAACAGATCTCAACAAGTATATCTAATACCAATGACAACTTATTTCGATATTAGTTTGACGCATACAATCATTTGACATGTATATTGATGACTATGTCATTGGATGGGTCTCTGTACTCGTTCGATTCCTAATCCCCTGTTCTGTTATAATTACTATTACATTTGACGTAAACGAACGACCAATCACCGTCGTCGCATTCAACAGCGTAATAACCTCAATTACGTTAACTGTAAACAACGAATAAGTATGTTAATCGCGTGGCAAGAAATTACGTACGAGATCGGCGCAACCTCGATCGAACAATAAATTATCGATTTATTTACGATATACGGTGTCGCGTAAAAGGGAACAGAACGAAAGGTGTCGCCATAGGGACCGACGATGATTGATTTTCATCCTCGTGGCTAATTGGAAAATTACAGTACACCGCCAGTCGAAGGGCCCCAATGAGATTTATTATCGCGAAGAATTGAAAGATGGTGGCCAAGATCATCCACGCGATCTCTATGTAGATCAACGCCCTTTTGAGAAATCAGTTCATTACTTCGATGGGGTGTAATTTTAACACCTTTTCTTAACTAGCTTGCAAGCTGAAATCAATAACGACGTCTTCGTTGTCGAAGTTTAAAGTTTCCATCCATGTTGCACGAAAGAATAAAATAGAAAATATACTATAATTTCTTTATAATGCAGAGAAATTTGATCAACAGCCTACAAGAGAAACTCCTCAATTTATACAAACCCATAATCGAAAATATAATTTCTTAGTTTCTTAGTTTCTTAGTTTCTTAGTTTTTTAGATTCTTAGTACTGTCTTTGGTGTAGTAATAGTAATATTTCTAACACAAAGAGGAATATTAATGGGTGTCGCCTCGGATCTGCTTAGTTGGACTCATTAGCGAGTCTTATCTGGCAAATTCTACTACGACGTGACGTTATTAATCGTTTGAACAGTCTGTAATTACTCGATACTTCATTAGCGTGTAATTAATTTGCGCTGATCGTTCCAACGATTAATACCGTCACGTTCGAGGCAAGATTTGCTAGGTAAACGCTAACGTTGACTCCAAACTAACAGATCCAGGGCCACGCGTAATGTTTGCCCTCCGTTTCGAGTATCCAGGTATCTGAAAACCTGCCAACGTTGTTTAATTTCCAAAACTTGTTCAGTAAGTGTTCGATCGTTCCAATGGCGGTTAAAATATATCGAAACTTGAGAGCAAATCGTGATTGGAGTACCGTTAGTCCAAATTACCTGCACCGTAACAAAATTGTTACTTTGTACCATTTTTCCTGATAATATTACGCAATTTGAGGAATTTTTTTTCTCGTAATATGGCGAACGCCACTCTGTGAAGCGAATGGCTTTTCTGGAGGCTCTGTACACGCGATTAATACCATATTTATCGCGTCTACTGACGATACTCGTTACACCTCGCGAACGTACGAGAAGAGAATTAAATCGAGAGCGGAGGAAAGTGGAGCCGAACAAACGCGCGTCAATTGTCGCAATTATCGTCCATTCCGCGTTCGAAGTTCCCCGATCGTTCTCCTAATTATCCAGAGCCAGAGGATAATCAGCGCCACAATAAATTTCTATCATAACCGTTGATACAGGCCCGTCGGTTTCGTAACACCGGCCTGGCCTCAATAGCCTCCTTTAATCTCTCGCGATGACGTTTTAAACGGTCGTAAATAATGGCCCCCTGTTTGTTCTACCTAATTCTTCATGCTTTTTCCATCTTCACCATTTATTTAAGTGTCTAAGGCACGTCGACGCAGCGTCGCGGCGCGGCTGTTTGCTCGACCTTAAGCGCAACGCAGTCGCCTTTTGATCGCCTTTAATTTTAATGGACCATAATCCTCCATCTCGAGGGGCCATTCCAGCGGCTGTTTCAGGATCCATTAACTGCACTTTCCAATTGAACTTTTCAAGCCCACACCCCCCTACCCTGGCTGTTTAGACACGCATCGGGGTTTGGACGGTTCTAATTTATTGGATTATTGCGCCGGCCGTGCTTATCGCGAAACGTTTCGCAAATTATCCTCTTCAGACGCGATGTACGATGATGCACGGTCGACATTTCAGGAATTCTCGCGCCCAGGGTGGCGTACTTTTTATAGAACACGAGTATCTCCTAACGAAAAAGAGAGGAAGTCGAATAGATACCGAGCAAACGAACATCGGGGGACCCAACGTTTCACGACGAGAAATAATCGCGTACGAGATTACTCGTTTCCACTAATGAAATAAATAATTATCAATTTAACGTGTACGAAATGTTTTTATGCTATTAATTTTAATAATGAATTACGAAGGTCCGGGAGCAGTGTTTGAGGAAGACTTTAAGGGTTGGTTTTCTCAGAAGCGTGCACAGCTGGTCGAAAATAGGATAGGACCTATTTCACGCCTAATGCGGGATCATCACATAATTATTCACGGTTAGTCCGCCACTTAGATTAGTTTAAACTAAGTGGAGTTTACGTAACTAGCGCGGGAGGAAGTGAAAGAGGAACTGGAGGGAGGAAAAGTGGCATCTTCATTGCATACCACGTTTCACTTGGAATCGCGCAATTGTTCGCCAGTTAGGATCGATTCGCCGAATGGGGTCGCTTCGAATTCGACGAAATCTAAATTCGAGCTAATAAAATTTCGATCAGAGT